TTTTTGGGTCTGATTTTCTGTGTACCTCTGAGGTTTGCACCTGAAGCAGCAGCCACCTAGTTTGACTTGTAGCATGAACCCTCCTCCTCTCACTATGTATATATTTTTAAACAGTTGTTGGTCAGAGTTGAATTAGACCAAGGGACAGTTATATTAAAAGTGCTCAATACACAACCCAAAAATCAAATGTGCAGAGCTTTTAAATATTAAGAAATAGGAATATCAACCACTTATGCTACCACGGTTTCAACCATTGAGGTCTTCTCAGGTTGTAGAAGCTAGTTAATTATATATTGTTATGTTAGCCCAATATTTGTACCCTCACCTCAGATTTTATAAGTATATTTTAAGTACATTGTGTATGTGCGACGAGACATAGGAATATTAATAACTTCTTTATTTCTTAAAAAAGCAGATTGTGGGATATATTTGTTTTTTTCATCCCCAGTTGAATCAGGGCCAGTTCTCGGAAGAGAACCTCTCATTTCCTGTTTGGTCCTTGACTGTAGGCCAGACGAACGCTGTTTGACAAAAAGTGCAAATGACACCAACAGTATTCCATGATGGACGCCTACGCATTTTTCGTAGGCTGGCATGTGACGGTTTTGTTTTGCGCATGTTGGGGTAACAATTTTCACTTAGCTGCTTGCCCCCAGATGAGGTAGACATCACTAGAATCTGTATTAGCCGTTTGCAGTTGAAAGAAGTAGATGTCACCAAAACCAAATTTTGCCGTTTGCTGCCTGAAGAATTAAGAACATCATCACCCAAGTCGGCTACGCTTTTATGATTCACATGTGTATATTAGAATATTGATAATCCCTCCCTTTTATGTTCAGAAAAAAGAAACAAAAAAAAAAAGAGTGTATGAACATCTTTTTATTGATGAAAATCCTGATCGACGTCGATCACCATTTACTGTTAAGTGTTGCATGTTTTTTATATATATCTTATTGTCTGCTTGTTCTATATTCCTATGATGTTCGTCACCATATTTGTCTAACTGATTACTCATCTCCCCATCCCTCATGTTATTAAGTTTCATTTATTTCTTTCTTATCTTACTTTTGCACCTTCTATATTTGTAAGTAAACTATTTCTATTATAAGTTCTCATATTGTCTCCTGTCGTTTTGTGTCCACACATTGTATATTTCTTGCTGTGTTTACCAGTGTCTGGATTCGGAGAAAAAATCTGTCTATTTGTTATTGTATTTTTCCAATTTTCAAATAAGATGTTATACATCAGAACAAAAATTGTGGATAAACACTTAAAAAAGTTAAATTAGATAACATCTTGCACCAGACAGGGAGGCATGGAGAAATCTAATTTCTTTGCCATTTGTGTTGAAGAATTTGAGAACAACAGTGTTGCTTATGCTGAACTGAAACAAGTGGGTAGATATATGGAAGACATCAAAGGAATCCTTCTCATGTGATGAATGTGGCCATGTCTGCTTTTCAAGGGCAGATCTCCTCAGACACAAACATGGGCACAGAAACACCCCACCTACTGGATACCCAGCAAAACTTTTCATGCAAAATTTGTAACAAAGTGTGTAGGTCAGTCAGTGGACATACTTGGCACCATAAAACTAAACACCCAGATAATCAGGAAGACTCACATGTACTTAATATGGAATGGCTTGCATGTCACTTATAGGTCTTATGAGCCATTTAAGTTGTCATCAATGACATGGAGATCATTCCTGAAATGTTCATTTAGGAATTAAGTCTTCTATCATGTGTATGTATGTATGAATGAATTTGGTTGTGTGGGCATCACATGTTTGTCCCACAGGATCTGTGTCTGTGTTTAATTCTGGATATGTGTGTATAATTTAAATGTGTATTAGAAATTGGTTAGTGTATTAGTGTATCTTAATTGTATGAGGAATATGACAAATGATGGAAGTGAATGTGTAATGTGAGGTTACATCATCTGCAATTGTTTGGAACTTACATTTATTGAGAATAGGTTTTATGAATAATGGTGATATGAAGAAACATATCTGGTGAATATTTATTGTATGTTTATTTATTAATATTCCTTCTAGGTATTTTCTTCATAATAGGTTGTGTTTCCTTTTTACTAAAGTGACATGTTTTAAATAAAAATTATGGTTGGTTTTATTTCTGTTTGATATTAAGGAATTTAATGTAATCACCATGAAATGCACTTCTCCACATTATTACTCTTGTAAAATTTCTGGTGAAGCTAAATAAATGGTGAAACATGTTAAATTTATAAAGGTTTTCTTACTTGATTTAATCATTGTCAAATTTATCTATATATTTCAAATTGTATTTTCTGATGTGCTGCCATCATTCCCAAATCATTAAAAAAATTCAAACTCCTTTTGGAAAAAGGAACTAGTCAGATTGAGCAAGATATGGTGAATAATGGATGGTTTATACCAGGTGTCAGCAACCCCTGCCCACATCCAACCCATGAAGGATTTTTGTTCGGCCCACCAACTTAACTAAAGTCTTTTTTGTCTGAACAAGAATAAGCCTATGTAAACTAAGAAAAGTGGATTTTGAGTGCCAAAATTTTAACAAAGGCTGGACACTTAGCTATTTTTTCATTGAGCAATTCAGAAAATGCATTTGCTTAATTTGTCATTACTGCAAAGAAAGTTTCAAATATCAAATGGCACTATGAAACATTGTAATCATTATAACAATTTCACTAGAAAGACATGAGACAAGTAAATTGCACAGATGAGAAAGGATTTACAAAGCAGTCACCATTTTTCACTAGAAAGGTTGAAGAAAATTACAGAAGCTAGCTACAAGGTGTTAAAACTAATTGCAGAATGGATGAAACCTTTTAGTGATGGAGAGTTCTTCAAAGAATGCATGTTGAAGGTAGTGGATGTTGTTCATCCAGTAAAAAGGGATTTATTTTCTGTGATCAGCTTATTGGCAAGAACAGTAACAAGGTGAACAAATGTCAGAAGTGGCTTGGAGGACATTTTAAAAAATCTGAAGTATTATTCTATTGCTATTGATGAAACCAGATATAAATGATACTTGTCAATTTGCAGTATTTGTGTGGGAGTTAATACCAACATTTGATATTGCAGAAAAATTTGTATAATTAATTCCTATGAAGGACACTAGCACTGGAGCAGACATTCTTGAAAGTATAAGATGGATAACCGAAATGAATCTTGATTCATCAAAACTTATTGGATGGAGCATCAGTGATGATAAGAGAGAAAAAGCAGTTTGTTGCATTGTTCCAAGAACACATTGGTATTGATCACAAACTAATCAAACTTCATCACATTATCCATCAGGATGCATTATGTGCAAAGTCATTGAATTTTAAGGACATCAGTTGTGAAAACAGTGAATTTTATACTGTCAAGAGGACTATATTATTGCCAGTTTCATGAATTTATAAAACCAATTGAAGCAGTGTATTGCAACTTTACATATTTTTCAAATGTTTTAATGAGCGAGCTACAGAAAAATGCTGGAACAAGTAAATGCATTGAGACAAGAGATTACTAGGTTTTTGGAGAGCAAAGGCCAAGATAATTCTTACTTTCAGGATCCAGAGTGGACATCATGACCCACATGGACACTTTGAATCTTGAGCTTCAAGGATAGAACAAGCTTATATTTGAGATGTTTAGTTAAATTACTGCTTTTGAAAGAAAACTTTGACTGTGGGAATCACAAATTAAGAAAGGAAACTACACTCATTTTCCAAATCTCCAAAATCATAAGAGATATAATACCAGACATTTGGCAACATGGGAATCAATTTAAATTATTTGATATGCCTTACAAAACAGATGTGGAGCAAGTGGGAGAAAGATAGCTGGAATTAATCAACTTACAATGTGACAAAATTTTAAAATCAAAATTTAATTTTGAATCCACTGCTGACTTCTATAAGAAATATGCTTTGCCAAATGGAAAATATAAAAGCCTATTGATTAATGCAAAAATGATGGTATCATTATTTGGAAGTACATATGCATGTGAACAACTTTTTTGAAAATGAAATATACTAAAAGTAATTTAAGAACAATGTTGGGTGATGACCACCTGATGTGGAAAGTTATTGAAAAATAAGCAGAAACAAGAAGTGTCTCATTAAATAATTTACCATTTCTACTTGTATTGCATTTGTAGTAAAGAATTTGCATTTTTTGTTGTGTTAGTTGTTATCCTGTTATTCCTGCAGTAAAATAAGGAACCTTATTTAAATAATCTAACATTAACTTTATTGTTCTTCTTTAACCCTCCAGATCAAGGCAGCTTTCAGAGGTTAAGATAATTTATTATAGTAGATTTGATATCATGGCCCTCCTCCGAGTTACTGCATAGCGGTCTGGTCCACTTGCTCTATAAGGTTGTCAACCTCTGGTCTATACACTCAAAATTCAGATTCTTCTTGTGAGTTGTGTGTGAAGGTGTTATGTACTACAAAAAGACAATAACATTCTACAGTTTCCTGCACAAGTTTTCAATGCCTCCTTTAATTAACACAGCATTTTGTATTACCTATTTGCATTACCTGCTTTGAATTTATAATTGTTTTATTTCCATTTATTAATGGAACAATCAACAATATTTTAGGAAGACAAATATATTGAGACAAATTGATTTCTGAATAAAAACATTTAAAATTTTTCAAGTCACTTAATACAACATGTTCATCTCAATTGCAAAAATTCATGATAATTGTTCCAATTGTTCCTTTCACTTCAGCTTTTATATGATGTGATTATATTTGCACTGATTACTGCAATATTTTGTTACTCTATCTCCAAAAGAAAATCTCATATATCTGATAAATAAACCTAAAAACTTATGAGTTCTTATTATTCAGCAATAAAAGCAAATGTTTTGCTGACAGGAAGCACAATTTGATTAATTTAACAATCAACAAAGGATGAAAAGAGTCAGAATTTTGTGAAAAGAAAATTTATTATTTTAAATATTGAAAGAAAAAAGAAGAAAAATGGAGGTTAAAAATGTTCATTTTGATAATTTGATGAATGCAGATGTGCTGGAGAAATATTTCTGGTTTGCTTCCATCAATTTCTTTTCAGCTGCCTGTGGATTTACTATTTCCAAACCCTACAAGCAACAAGATACAACATATAAATTAAAACAAAGTCTATATTGTCATATTTGGACATTCAGGTCAATGTATTAGAATTAAATATTGCTGATCAGAACAAAGATGATTTATTTTCATGTTATTGCCTTGCAAAGGATTGAACTCACAAATTAATCTTGACTGGTATTATGAAATATCAATAGCATAAATGTCTAGCTCAATAAAGAGATTGATTATTACTGAAGAGATTGGGACAATAATAATAAATGAAAAATCTTTAAATAGTTTCACATAAAAAGCATTTAGTAGCACTAAGTTTTGAACTAAAACAATAAATCTTAGCAAATATAACAGAGTAAGGAAAATATTTATAATAATGATGATCAATTGATAGTTAAATATGTTATAAAACTATTTTAAGACAAAGGTTGAAAGTAATTCCTAATAAAATGCTTGTAGATAATCAAAACAGTGATTTTGTTAATATTTCAATGTTTATTCATCTGAACATTTTATTCCCAACAAAATCTACAGGCAGATTCATTAACTAAAACCAATACCTGTAAAGGTGTGAATGCAACACTTGAAGCAGTTCCTGCAATCTGACGTTTTACTGTTGTACTTCCACCCCATACTTGGTTCTGCTTTTGAAGTTTTTGCTAGAAAGAGAAAGAAGAAAATTGACAGAGAAACACAACAGAAACAACACAAGACAGACAGACTAAATAATGAGATGTTATTTTAATTGAATAAATGAAGGAAGTTTCAAATGCAACTGATAATATAGAATTTCACAAGAAGGAAGAGAGAAAGTTTTGGTTATTAGTACAGAGGGGAAAGGTGTGGGGATATAAATATGAATTCTTTACAGAATTAAAGTTCTTATTAAAATTGAAATATTAATTCTAAATGTGTGTAAGTATAGATACAGTAATCTTACCTGAAGTGTCTTTGATATTCTTGCTTTTGTCTTAGAGTCCACAACTGGTCCTCGCACTCGACCAGATTTAGATTTCTTTATATTTCCCAATGAGAACCCAAGATCTTCTTGATAAGCATCTTCTTCAATCTGTAACCACATACAGTATATTTGGTTTTAATTTTTACATTTAAAATTAATAAGAAAAAAGTAAAACCCTCTTTTAAGGGCATTATTTTCAAAGTTCCAAAAACAAATAGCTAATTAAAAAAAAAAAAAAAAAAAAAAAAAAAAAAACAAAACACATACTTCTCCAAAATTCATTCTATTTCCTAACTTTCTGATTTCAGTTAGTCCAAGACGCTCTTTCATTTTCCTGGCTCTGAAATAAAAGAAATAAATTAAAGATGTTTGTTTTAGTGTTAATTAACATCCCACCCTCAAAATGCATTCGTATTGTGACAGTGTTTTATGAAGGTTATTTCCACCTCCTATCCACCCCAGTGTAAAACAAATACTTTGAAAATACTGGTATCAGAAAGAGAACTTTTCAGCACCCCTCATAGTAATTATATAGTAAAAAACAAACATTTCTTACTATGTTTTCTAAATATTTCAATGTGAAGTTTAAATATAGCAAATATAATTTCATATTTTCTGTTAATCCTCTATTTGCACTGCTCCTATATTTTTCTGAGTTTATACACAAAAATCTCAGTAAAATTTCTTTTCAATAAACATGTATATTGCTTATTTCCATTAAAATCAGAGTGCAATTTAAAAGAAAAAATATTCACTGAGGAAAGTTTTTTAATGTTAGAAACCAAGAATAACTTCCTTTACTTTGACATTCAATACATATTTGCTTACACTTTGTAAATAAAATTTTTTTTAATTAAAAACTGACATTAGTTATTTTATTAAAATTTTATTAAAATTTTATTAAAATTTTATTAAAATTTTTTTTAATTAAAAACTGACATTAGTTATTTTAATTTTTTTCTGGTATTCATTCACCATCTTAATTTTTTGTCCACTTTTCTGCAATTTAAAGACAAAAGCAACTCATTTTTAAAACTGTAGCCACCATATTTTTCTTACCTGCGACCACCTCTTTTCTTTCGAGGAGGATCAATTGGGGCAGGAAGTGGTTTAACATGTTTGTGCTTGTGAGGTTCAAGCAATTTGTCCAACTTCTGTTCAATCTCAGCCTTTAATGAATCTCCCACATGACCATCCTGGCTTTCATGAAAGCTATCCACTCGAGCTGCCAATGTACTTTTGGCAGCCACAAATTTAGCTGCTGTCTTCCTTAGATCCTAACAAAAGGAGATAAATTATAATTTTAATTAAATGCCATATTCATAGTAAATAGATATTTCAAACATAGTAGCAGTTTGGTTCAAAGGAAATATTTCTGTAAATGAAAAATATCAGTAAACAGATGCTCTTTTAAAGGCACCATTCTCAGACAGTATCAGACAGACATGTGATACACACTTAAGAAATGATCCTTAAAAGTATAGTCATTCTCAGAATACATGGCAGGAAAAATTTATTCATTTAAAAAATTTATAATAATTTCAATAAAAATTCATTAGAAGTTGTGAGAATGTAGAAAAGAATGACAAATCATCATTCCAGAATTAACTTAATTCCTGTTGCATATTATTTACTGATGAATAAAGGGAATAAATTGTTGACATGTCAACAGATTCATTTTAAAAAAAAAAAAAAAAGAAAGGAAAACAATAAATCTTAGGAGCACCATTAGAAAGTATTTTTGCATTTTGAAAATTGCTTAACTTGAAGAAACAGTGCCTTTAAATGAGAAAAGAAAATTAAGACATTTAAAAAAAAAAAAAAAACCTTTTAAAGGAATTGAAAAATAAAGCATATATACATAAGAAAATGGAATATATATAGAAATAACTTAGTCTCTTTTCTAAAGAACAAAATACTTTTATTCTGCTAAGTCCCTTTGTAAGAGTTCTATTATTTTCACATCAATCTTTGTTTTTGCAGTGATATGTATGGAGAATCCTATCACTGCATTTAATATTTATTTGAACTTATAAGGAACTTACAACTGAAGCAGTGAATTGATCACTTCAGTATTTTTGCAGGTAATCTGCTTATTCAATAGGATTCTACTGAAATAAATGAACACTGGAATTTCTCTATTACAACCGCAATCAATTAAATTAATTACTTTTGTTGTCAAGAAGAATTTCAATGTCTATTTTATTATTATTTATTTATTTTTAAATCAGATTTACTTCAAGTAAAGCAGCAAAGCCACTAAGACACAAGGGGTATCTGGGTGTGAAAGAATTAGGAAAAAACATCACTAAGGTGCAAGTTAAATTTTTGAAGATTAAAGTTAATTGGAAAGCATGTAGCCTGAAGAGAGTTCCACAAGTGAGAAGTGCGAGAAAAGAAACTGTTAGCATAGAACTTAGTTACATCTAACCATTTCAACTGTAAATTGATGAGACCTTGTTGCCAATCTAATATTGCACTTAAATTCATAGACTAGGTACCATATTCCTGTGATTCAAATTCCAGATTGAAATAATTATTCATTAATTGCTTTAACAAGTAACTTCTGAGAAATTATTCGTTATTTAAGTTGAAACTTATCTGTAAGCACCTCTAGAGGGTCCCGAGTGACCCACTGTTTTTGTAAGTAGAATTTCAGATTCTTACTAATCCGTTTAAGCTACACAAAAAATATTTTTATGAAAGATGTATTTTGAAATTACAAATTTATTTCATAAACTTAAATTACCAATCAACTTTTTTGTTGCACAAATAAAAATTAAATGTTAATGATTATGATTTAATTTTTTGTTCCAGTGTAGAATATTTTTTCAAACGTAAATATTTTATTTATAACTTGGTGTTTTTATAGAATATTTTCTGAAATATGTCCATGTTAGGACGGACGTAATAACGAAGGGATTTAACTCTCTCCCTAGATGAGAAACAAGTTATGCCCCTTGATCAGAACTCACGAGAACACAAGAAAAGAGATCCTAAAATGTCTGTCAGACGTTCTAACATGTTTCCTATCGGACACTAAATCCACCGGTCGTATTTACATCTATTGTTTTGTGAATAAAATGTATAAAAGTTCGAGTTGTGTGTTCGTTCTTATTGGACACAACAGTCCATTATTTAAAACGGAATTTGCATAAACATACACTTTTGTATTAATTTTCAAAATGTCAACCAAATTTTCAAAATTTTAAAAAAAAATTACTGTAAATCTATAAATATTCATTTCAAAATATTGTGAAGAATAAATAAATGATGTATGAAAAGGAAAACAAACAAACAAAAAATAGAACATAAAAAGAAAAATAATTACTGGTGGAGTTTTGGTGCAGATTTCACATTGGTAAATAAAACCTGTGTGAGGCATAATGGCAGCAGTAGAAAATCCAGATAGAGTTTTTTTTTGAGCTCCAAGTACTAACAAGTTGCAGGCAGGCATTTTGGATAGGTTGGTTAGGCCTCCTGCTACACCTTTTAATTCAGAAGAAAAAATATATAATTTACAGGACTCATAAAACCTGTAATAGACTGTAAATATAAGCTACTGTATTTGATGGCATGTATCACCTATTTACAATATTATAGAGCTAGAATAGTCATATGTCTACAGGGTTTAAATAATTACAACATTAGTTAACACTTAAATTGACTAATTACTATTATGATTTTAACTACCTCTATAAATATATTTCAATTGTGTTAATATTACTAAATCATACAACTGGGTCTCAGACAAATTTTACTTGTTTAATAGGAAAAGACCTTTTACTGAAAACATTTCATTTTGACTCCTGCATTTCATATTAACAACTAGCAGTAGAGCCCGGCGTTGCCCGGGGATATAACAGTAAGAGATAGATCAAATATCCACCATCATAAAGACTGAAAAATAAAATTGACAAAGATTATTGTTTAAGGTTGACGGACACGCATGTCTTAATTAGTATTTTTTTTTTAATTTTTTATGAATTGGTCAAACTCAAACAAAAACATTGTTTTCAATCGTTATGAGTCTCCCAATTGAATAGAATAATTTTATAAACAATTGTCTTGTAAATGGAATTTTTAAAGGAAAGCATTCTGAATGTAAAAAAATAAAGAAAAAAAAAAGACAAGACAATAAGAAACACTACATGCCAAAAAAAAAAAAAAAAAAAAAAAAAAAAAGTTTTGTTGAAATCGGTTGAAAAATGTAGGTAGCCTTTCTGTAATCTTTTAGTTTTACAATTTATTATTTTTACTTATTGAATACAGTAAAAAAAAAAAATTGCATATTTTGCTTGTGGTGATTCATAATTAGAATTCTGATTTGAATATATTTTCCACTCGTTGTTTCTAATACAAAAAATATTAACTTTATTTGGCTTTATTAATTATGATCTAACAAATCTTATTCATTTAGTAGCCTTTCGGTAATAATAATCTTTTACAATTTATGATTTTTACTTATTGAATACAGTAAAAAAATTGGACACCATGTGTATTTAAAGTAGTTTCCCGTTCCGGTCATTATTTTTAGTTAGGACTTGTGTATGTTTAGATTTCATTATCTTTCCCTAAAGATAAAGAATTTATTCCGATGTTTGTATTCGTACAATCAGTAGAGATCGTTAGATTATTGTTTAAGGTTGACGGACACGCATGTCTTAGTTTTTTTTTTATTTTTTACGAATTGGTCAAACCCAAACTCAAACAAAAACATTGTTTTCAATCATTATGAGTCTCCCAATTGAAAAGGAATTTTATTATAATTGTCTTGTAAATGGAATTTTTAAAGCATTCTGAATGTTAAAAATAAAGAAAAAAGTGTGCAAGAGAATAAGAAACACTACCTGTCAAAAAAAAAAAAAAAAAAAAAAAAAAAGTGAAGTTTTGTTTTATCGGCTGAAAAATATAGGAAATCCGATGTGAGTTGTCCCCCTTCCATTTTCACGATGTCTCTTAATCGTGTTTTCAAATTGATTTTGTGCAAAAACAATTATATTTTTCCCATTTTTGGCGCTGTTAGAACCACAAGGTAATTTTATGTAGTCCTGCGAAGTTTTGTTGAAATCGGTTGAAAAATGTAGGAAATCCGATCCAATATATAAACGTTACAGACACACACACACACAATCTGCATTTTATAATAAGTAAGATAAGTGTATGAAACTAATATTTTTTACAAGTGAATGTAGATCTGAAGGTTACAAGAATTAATGATATCAACTATAAAGTTTAATTTATTTTACTTGTGTTTTAAACAAGGCATAAAAATATTGTGTTGAATGAAGATTAAGAAAGAGTAGCCATAAAATCACTTTTAATGACTGTATGTAAAAAAAAAAATACTTCAAGAAACTCACAAGGACATTTTGATAACAAATAATCAGTCTTACAAATAATATATAATAATTATATATTTACATAGAAAGACAATACTTTATTAAACTGCATTTAAAATGATGCATTTTGTTTTTTTATTTCTTTGCAATCATTTCTTACTCACCCATTAATTTAGCAGCAATTGAAGCCCCAACAATAATAGAGAGATTAGGTGCAATAAAACTCATTCTGGATTCAACATAATTGAAGATTTTCTGTTTGTATTCACTTAAGTCAATTGCCTAGAAAATAAAGAAATAAAGCTTGTCAAAAAATTGTTAAAGTTGTCTGAAGTATTCTAATGATTAATTTCAATTAAGTTCTCTTTCATCTTTATTGTTGCTATTTTTATTACGATTCTGTGTTTGAAGAAATAAAAGTAACACCATTTTTGTACCATTCAAGTTGGCATTATCATCCACCAAAATGACAGTATTACTATTCACCAACTGGATACTGTTCTAATCGCTAATTAATTACTGTTGCTGTCAAAAAATTACTTTTGTCACATCTGTTCTAGACATTAACCATAATCTTCCAGAGATGATAACATACTTTTGGCTTCACATTTGCATTCTATGATTATGCAGATCTGTTTCAGTTGCTGCACAAAATCCATCACAACTGATGACACAATTCAAAAATTTATTTTGAATGTTGAACATAATGAATTCCTCCATACGTGATATTTTTTTTTTTTTTAATTCAAACGAAACACATTTACTGAAATTTTTTCATGACACTCAACTCTTAAATGATTTGAAATGGTTCCAAATAATTAAAATTTGCTACAAGTTTTGGATGAGATCCTACTAAAGGTTTCAAATTTTTATTATTCATTGATGATTTAGACAAACCTCTCACTTGGTTTTAATAGAAATGATTGATTTCAGGAATGTTCAAATATCAACTTGAACATTTCTGAAATCAACAGTTTGTTCATTCAAAGGCTGTATTTATATTTCTTACAATTTCATTATAGATTCATTAACTTGAACTTGTGCTTGTATAAGAAAGTCAGTGATACACTGTATAATCCTGGATGTAAACTACAATTGAAAAAAATTTAAAAAAAAAAGTTAATACAAAATTTCTTACAACTACTTCAAAAACAGTAAGAGATTTAATTAATACAAGACAAAATAACATCCTAAAACCTGAAGAAGGAGTTTACGGTATTGACATTTTTTACTGAATAATCAATAATATATAATTTCAAAATAAAATATGAACTGAAAACTTTACCGTATGGGGAAAAAAGAAAAAGGAAAAAAAAAAAGGTAAAATGAAAATGTCAATTTGAAAAAAAACAACAACTTAATGTTGAATAACCTAATATCTTTCTTTGTTACTTTTCTTGATTCATTTCGTTTTTCAAAACCCATCAATAGGAATCTGCATGAATATGACATGTTGCACTTATATCTTTGGTCTACTTTCATCCAGAGCAAGTAACCAAGACAAGATACTAAGAGTTGCTAATCATAGCATAAAATTTAGTTATGTTTGGTGAGAGGAGAAATTAACATCTGATTTTATAAATAGAAATACTGATATTTATGTAATGAAAGAAGGTAATTTCAATTTGTAACTGAAAATATGGAAATAACATGAACATTTATAGAATTACTTTTAAATGTTCAAGTCAGTATGGCGGCTGGGGCCGTATAAAATTGTAAGTTACTTAAATGTTTAATGTAAAGTTAAATTAATAAATGCCTATAAATTATATGAATTATTAAAAATTATGAAAGCTGTTAATTGGTACCAAGCAATTTGTAAAAAATATCAACAACAACGTATTGATGATTTAGTGCAAATCAAGTTTAATATAATTACTACAAGCTGATTATTGTTAAAATTTAAAAAAAAAAAAATTAGACATCATAGCTAATGTAATTGTTCACCAAAATGTTTTTCAAAGTAAATTACTGATAATAAAACAGGAAAGAAAATAATATTGAACTAACATTCAATATTTATAAAATATTAAATGTTAAATCACCTACCATATTACAAGCTTCTATAACTCTGTCCATTTCTTCTGCTGTCAATTCTGTCCTAGAATAAAAATTAGATTTCAAATTTTAAAGTTGCAAAAACAATGTGTTAATATTATAGTATTTAATCAACTATTATATTTACTTGTGTAGTAAAAATATCTGACACAATCAACTGAGTAAATAACAAAACACATGTCAACAATTTTCAAGTCTTTTACAATTGTAGGTTGTAATGACAAAATTTTCATAAGTTATAATTTCTAATAATTGACATTATTTCTTTGTATTGTTTAACTGTATTAAAATTTTTTAAAAATATTAAAGAGAAGTAACAATTAAAAAATTCATTTGTTTAAATGCTGTGATGTTTAAGAAAAATAAAAAAGAAGACACTGATTCTTCAAAATATTCGTTGTAACACAATTTCAAAATTTTAAATAATTTTATGCTTAGTGCAGAACAATTGATTTGGGAATAATTTATAAAGGTCTCAAATGCAACACATACAAACAAAAAAAATATTTAAGACACTTTAAAAACCCAATACCACATTCTTTAAAATGTAGTGTTTTTTAATTAAAAATTTACATGAAAACAAAAGTAATTACCACTTGAAATTGACAGAAAAAAAAACATTAGTCCAAAATGAAAGGTTTATAAAACAGTTGTCTATTGATGAAAAATAAACATGTCTTCATATTACATTAAATATTGAATTTTTTCTAAAAGGAATTCATTAAAAAAGGAAAAATATTTGAAGAAATGAGATTCAGAATAAAAAAATGTATTTTTAAATGTTTTATCATAAAAATTTTAGAAACTAGGGAGAAATCAACATTCAAATACGGCAATTTAAATAGATTAGTATATATTTAACTTATATTGATAAGAATTCACTTGTAATATTTTTAGCAATATATTGCTGACATTCAAAATGCAATAAAATTGATAAACTTGTGATATTGCTACAAAAATAGGCTTGAAATTTATTTGAGTACTTGAACAATAACAAGCAAATTTATAAGTATAAAAGCCATTTCTTTTTTTAAATAAATTGTTACTTTGTCATTATAAATCAGATGAACTGAGTGATGTTTATAGAAAGTAATTACACCAGGATAATTGTATACTTAGAATTATGCTGTTAGATTAAGATTAACAGAAATAGTGAAAAATAAATTATAATTGAAATTCCACTTGTCATAAGAATAATAATATTTCTATTACTGAATAATGTATGAATGATAATAACAGATAATATGATGGTGAAAACAATTAAAATTATCATGCATTCTTATTTCAAAACATTGTCACAATTTTTTATTAGCATAATAAAATCTAGATCTTTACATTGTTTAAATGCAATGAAAGAACATAAATAGAAGAGTGGATAATTAATTACCCTTGGGTTGTAGATGCCGTTACACTAACAACCATAATTGTAGCTGGTGTCAGAATTTCCTGCAAAACTTCATTACTTTTTGATTTTTCAAGGATATTATTGCCTAATTCCTACAAAAACAAGAGCAAAAATTATTCCCAATTTTAGACCAGCTTTCCATTACCAAACATAAAAGTGATATCATTTACTAATAAAATGAAAAATAATAAAAATTAATTTTAACAAAATTTTCTATTATAAACAATCCTTAAAAAATATTGAAAATATTTATCAATTTATATAATTTGTTTCAAAGAAAATGATTTTAGTTTATCACTAAATTTTTATAGAATTATTTTAGATATGATGATGAAACAAACTTGAAAACAACAAAAAAATGAATGCCTGAGATGTTTTAAAATTACTTCTTTGTGAAGACAATAGTAGAATCTTTTCCTTAATGTAATGAAGGCCAGTTTACAGACTGTTCCTTGAACATATTTGATGACATAACCATTTAAAATTTTTTATCCTTTTTATTCTAACTTACTTTTGTAAATTCATATAATTATGTCAAATTACTCAGAAACTCAAGATGTGATTCTGATTTTTCTTTTACAATAAAAACAGAACATTTACCTTGACAGTACTAACATATTCCATTGGGGTTGGAACTAATGATTCTAATTCTGGAAAACGTTTTGCATAATGATCCCGGGTGAATTTGTGAATCACATCTGTAAATTAACAAAATAAAATAATGCAAATTATGAGTAAATCTACAATATTTTGGCTAACACAGGGATGGACAACATAACCTATGTACCTCCACGAAATCGCTAAAAAAAGAGCATAGCTTGATGAAAAAGACGCCAAACTTGCCGAAAACTAAATTTTATTGTCTAAATGCTTATGTTATTAAGAGGAAAGACCAAAGTTTTTTTTTTAATTATTTTTAAAAAATTTTCCTTCTTTTTAGAACATTCTAAATTTTGATTAAAAAAAACTTTTTTCTATTTGTATCAGCGGAACTAGTAAATAACATAGACAATTTTTAGCACGTTTTTTTTTGGTATGAAGCATTAATTTGAAAAATCGTGCAAAAATAGAAGTAATTATCGGATGTTAATGAAACTTTCAGAAACTATTCACAGATGATCGAAATTATTATAAATATGTTTTTTTTTATGAAAGTCATGGTAGAAATATTTTTTTAAAAATATTTATTACCCCACATAACTAATTTTATGAAAACGCTAGAAATTGATCGCATCGGTTTTAGTGATTACAATAATTAAAAAGCACAGGGCTTTGAGGAATGCAAATCATGTTTTTTTTGTTTTTAATTGGATACGCAGTACCTGAAAATCAGTTCTGAATTGTAACATACAAAACTCAATAAAACAAATATATTATTTAATTTCAAATGCTTTTATTTGCTTTTAGTTGTTTTTATGAATATGGACAATATTTTCTGAAAGCAAAAAAATTTTTTCGATGAAAAATGAATTTTAATACAATTATTTGTTATTTCATTAATTATAATAGATTTTACATTTAAGTTGTTAAAATATTATAAAATTAGTTAAAAAGCCGATCGGCTTTCATAAGTGTCCTTATGAGATAGATCTTTTTTTTTTTTTAGCGTTTGTAAATTGTATCATTTTGACTAATCAGAAGATACCCAGTAATTAAGAAATGTAATTTTGTGCTTATAATCGAGCTGTAATTATAAAATACGTAAGACCAACCAGAATATAATTAAGTTGCGTTATTTGAGTTAAACATTGTTCTCCGCTGTTAAGGCCTTTACTTTTGTGAAACACGTGTAGAGAAGTTAATTTGATTTTTCAATTTCAACTGAGAAGGGTACCTACAAGTATCAGTATCATCTTATGAAATTTATATGATCTTATTTTTATATTAATCTCAGTTACGACATTTTTCCATAAATGAAATATCAAAATTAATAATAAAATGAATGCAAATACAAATAACAGTAGAATGTAATAAATGTACATAAAATTATAGTATTTTATGTACAATTCTGATAAAATTTCATAAGAAAGGTACCTATAAATTAATTAGATACCTTTCTTAAAAATATGAAATTTAATGTCACTCTTAACAGTTTTATTTTAATTTCTTTACAATATATTTCCCATAAAGCATCATAAACGTAAAGGTGAAAGCTAAGTACAAAAAAAAAAAAAAAAAAATTAGACCGCTGAAAGTTTTCGTTAAAAATAACGGGGTAAATAATTTGTTCACGTAAATGTAAATTATTTCACTTTTCTCCTTCTGTAGAACAAATTAGCCTCATGGAATTCGTAAATATATCATTCATCACATGTCAAGAGACGCGAAAGTTTATGACCTGCTTTGTTTTATTTTCAAATTACATCTTTTTGACACAAAAGCTAAGTTAAGTTTGGTTCAAAATATTTTAAATAAACATAATTTCTGATTTTCTTAAAATAAGTTTTGAAAAAATGATAATTGATATTTAAAAAAATTTCAAAGTCAGATTTCCAGTTTTTTTAAAATGGAAAAAAATGGTCAATTTTGCTGACTCAAAAAAAAACTAGATTTTTAACGAAAATTTCGGACGTGCTAGGAACGATTAAAAAATGGAAAAAAATACCCCCAAAATACTTTCACCTTTCCTCTTAATAATAACAAACATTTAGACGATAAAATTTTGTTTTCGTCAAGTTTGGCGTCTTTTTCATCATGCTATGCTCTTTTTTTAGCGATCTCGTGGAGGTACCTAACATAACCCACTGGCAACTTGGATTCAATTCCTTTCACTCATTTTTATAATCATACATTTCTACTCCCTAATATTTTTTACACACAGCAAAATCTAACAAATTCTTTAAAAGCAAAAAATTCATAATAGAGTAATTATGAAATTGCTATCATGGAATTTCACATTAATGTTTAATACTGTGTAAAGAAAAAGAAAAAAAGAGTAAAATTATTAAACAATTAAGCAGTAATACCAAACAAATTCAAGTAAAAAAAATTACCAATAATTTCTCTATAAATCAATTTGTTTTTGATCTTTGCCTTTTTTTTTCAAACTTCATCTGATAAAAACTTTCATTTGTTGTTGTAAAATAGATTCACAACAATTTTTGCTGCAAAGTGAATTCCTTTTTCACTGTGTTGTTTACAAGTAAAAACATATTTTGGAAAATAAGTTTCCAAAATTCTTTCAGCAGACACTCTTGTAGTGGATTCATTATGTTTTACAATAAATTTATCTGCATAGTCAAGTATAGCAAAACAAGCACAAACGACATTTGCCATTTGGCTAAATGGAACCATAAGACCTCCTTGAAAAAGTAAGTCAAAGTACTGCTTCTCTTTAGCCTCATCACTATCATTGCCTACCATGACCAGGGAACACGTTTCACATTGAAAATGTTCCATTCATTTTTTGAATTTTCCCTAACAAAGAAAAAGATGGTAATGGAAATTTCTCCAGAAGTAATTTGTAGGCTTGTTGAGATGTATAACACAATAGTAAGTCATAACATATTAGTTCTGCAGAAAACGAAGGACAACCTCTTGGTTGGTAATGCTGTCTTTTTTGTAATTCTTTTAGAATTGAGTATGGTTGTTTTTCCACCATGTTTTGTATGTAGTTTGGAAAATTTTATAACATGCTAAATCTTGTGAGTTTAGCATTATGTCCATGTATAAACCACTGTGGTAATGGTATAGGGGTTCCATCACACTGGAGGTTTTGGTAAATGCAAATACATTCTTTTATAGATGGAAAACATATTTCAGGGTCAAAGACTATTCTATAGATTAGAATATAATCTTCCTTTTTTTTAAAATTCAAAACCGTTAGGATAACACTTTGCTTCTTCTAACTGAGTAAAATCCTTTATCGTATCAACTGAAATAAAACCATGTAATTCATCAGTTTGGACCAGTTGTTGTTTTGGAGGCTTTCTGAATTCCCTTGTATTTGGCAAAAAGAGAGGGTTTTCTTTTTTTTTCTGAATGTATTGTAGGTATTGGATGTAAATCCCAATTCAGTTTGTTTTCTTTTTTTTTCAAAATAAATCTCTCTTCAAAATGTTTCATACAGAGAATTGAATTTTTTGTAGCAAAACCAATCTCAATACGATTAACAAATTTTATCCATTTTCCTACACAGTTGGATTTTCCAAGAGGAAAAGAAAATGCCGATATTTTTTCACTGTTAATAACATATCCACTAGAACAGTCAAATGCAACACATTTGTTAACCATTTTTGCTAAACAAAATATCACAACAAACTTTAGAATTTAATCTCTAAATGGAATGTACTATGGAGGTAGAAAAGTTACCTTATAGTGTTCATTTGCAAAAGGGAGCTAACACACAGCCGTTTATAATTAGTAATGGATTTGTATTTAAAAAAATGGCATAAATATATATATTAGTGTTGAAACATGTCTAGGGAATTGAAATAACGTCTAATAAACTCTACATAAATTTATGTTGTTAATTTACATTCTAAGAATTCAATTTTTAAATTTACCTCCCTTTTAGATTAGCAATTTTCTAAGCGGCCATTCACATTTTTTTTTTTACATCACATCGGTCTGTTAGAATTCAGCTTGTTATGTGACATGTGGGGCTGTAATACTAGTTGACTATGGTACCATGGACAAAATCCAGATATTTTGACAATTAGTCATGTACATTATACTTTGAATAATTTCATAAATGAATATACATATAAACAGGCAGATAGACAAAAATGAAGCATCATTGTATCATCTATTTGTTAAGATTTAAGAGCATGACCTTGGTAAATTATAAGGTATAATAAAATGTGATCTAATAATAAAGTGTATTGTTAACTATCTTAGAATGCAGCCATAATTCAGGAAGAATAAGCACTCTTATCACTGACCCACATTCAAAATATGGATCTCATTTCTCACTATTTTCCAAGAAAAAAAAAAAAAAAAAGGACTTATAATTAATTTAACTTAAATCTTTATAAATAATTTTTATTAAAATACAAAAAAAAAAAAAAAAAAAAAAAAAAACTGACATAGTTAAAATCAGTTGGTAAAAATCAGACTTAGCTTATGACATTCATCTTAAAAAGGTAGTACCACTATTTTCAAATTTCAGTTTTTTTAGGAGCAAAACTGAGATCAACAACTTAGAACATACATTCACTTTTGTAATAGTTGCATAGTGAAAATCAGTTGGATGTCTAAATATTTTTATTCTTTTGCCAATGTTTTATTCAAGAAGAACATCATCAGAACAACTGAAGAAATTATTACCATGATCTTGTGATTTAGAACACTAGTTAATTTGAATTTTTTTGAAAATTTAACAATTAATAAAATTACAAATACATAGAAAAATCTTAAAATAAATGTAAAATATAATGATCTGATGTAAGAAAATAATGAATACATATAATTCAAATTATAATTTATAATAATATTATTTAGGTGTTAAGGAAAATATAAAACAATAATGAAATTTTATTAAGATATTAAACCAGGAACTATTTTATTATTTTCTTTAGACAATATATTATAAAAACCTGTTTTGATTAAGTTTAAAAACAAAATAAAATGCATTTATGTACACACAAGAATTATAAAAATCTGGGATGTATTAAATTCTTTATGTTTCTATGTGCAATATACAAAACATTTTTTCAATTTTAAAAATGCCAAAATGGTTAAAGTTATATACATCATAAATCATGTAAACATTATTGAACCATCACAATCAAGTTTGATTAATCAAAACAGATAATATCTCACTTTTCTGGTGAAGATAAAAGAAAATATTAAAACAGATTCTGTTTAAACATTTCCCAAGAAATAAATATGCATAAATGAATATAACAAACCAAAAAGAAATTGGAACTCAGCACTCCAATTACAATTTTGAGTCATTTGCACATCCAAGCTTACAGCACCTGGTATTCCCAAGTAGTCACCCCACTTGGAATTTTTTTCAGTTCTGATAATGTTCTATTTAACAAAATGTTGGCAACAGAATCAAAAATTAAAACATCCAACTGGTTTTCACATATTCCATCTTACATACTTTGTTCTGATATTTCAGTCATTTTATCAATAATTGTACACTAACTTGTATATAAGCATGTTCACCGTTTTCGCGGGAAAACAGCATATAGCGTAATGAAAATGCCACAAACTTAATTAAAATAAAGTTTTATCGTCAAAATGCTTATGTTATTAAGATGAAAGACCAAAGTATTTTTTAATTATTTTTTGAAAATTTTTAATCCTTTCTAACACATTCGAAATTTTGGTTAAATTCTTCTTTTTTTTACGTCATCGCGGCGTCACAGAAAAAAACATTTTTTTTTTGTGATTTTTTTTCGTTGAAAACATTGATTTGGAAATTCTTGTAAAAATCAAGTAATTGTCCGATTTTAATGAAATTTTCAGGACTTATTCACAAATGAATGAAATTATTTTTTAAATATTTTTTTTTTTTTTTTTTTAGAAAATTTTGGTAAAAAATATTTTTTTTAAAATATGTTACCCCACATTTACTTAATTTAATGAAATTTCGCCCAAAAACATTTTGGTTCCTGAATTTTTTTTTTTGTTAAAAGTAGAGTCTTGAAGATGGTAAATAACCTACATTTTTTTTTTCAAATTTGAGCTATCTAACTGAAAATCTGCTCTGAATTGAAAAATAATGAATCAATAAAACTATGATATTACTTAATTAGAAAAGCTTTTAATTGCTTTTGTAAATAAGTAATATTAAGAACATTATTGTCTGAATAATTAATTTTTACAAGAATTTTTCGTTTTTTAAGAAATTTTAATTATAATAATTTATAATAGTTTAAAATCGTGTAAAGCTCTGTATTAGGAGGGTTCCTCGAGAAAAAATTTACGAGTCCAAAATTGCTAAGTTTAATAAATTTAGTTGCGCTACGTTTCTTAAAAATAATTTTTTATGTTGTATTTTTTTACTTAATACATTCCTTATTTCCATGTATGATATACAGAAATTGCCATTATTATAACAAGGTCACGTGATCTAAGGGTTTTGTCCCTTTACGTGGCCTTTTCATAACATTTCGTTTCTTACAGGTTGTATTTTCTTTCTGTTCAGCTTTAAAAGTGTAAACTTTAAATTTTAAAGTAATTTTTCTTTTTTTCATTTACTATTTCACTAAATAATTTTATTTTATGTATTGTATTTCCATTAGTGTGTGTCATACTCAAATAGAATAATTTTTTTAAAAACTCAGACTTAAAAATTATGTCATTTATGGTCATCAGTAGTAGCTGTCATCGGTTTGTCATTCAACAATCCATCAATAGTTCGATCAGATGAACAGGACCGCTCGTTAATAATTGGTTGTATATTATTTTTTTATGCTATAAGTAAGAAAGATTTCTTTCAAATCAGATTACTTTAACTTTAAATTTTTTAATTTCACTAAAATAACGTGTCAGAAATTTTTTTAAATATTTTCAAAATCGATAAATTTGTGTTTGTTTACAAATTTCTTAAAATTAAGAAAATGGCCGATTTTAAGAAAATTGACAATCAAATGTATATAGTTTCTATCTGAAATACACCAGAATTGTTTAATTAATGGAAATCATAAATTTAATGATTAAACTTTTTTTAAAGCTAAAATAAAATCTTCAAGAATGTTTTTTCGTTGTAAAAAATTCATTTTAAACTTAAATATAGAAAATTTATGCCAAAATAGTGCAGATACCTACTTGTATAAAAGAAAAAAAAAACAAACAAAATGCCCCCTACACCTCCACCTATTTCCCTTGAACCATGAAGGCCACTGTAAGACCAAATCTGTTTATAAACTATTTTGACCCACTCAGATACAAAGTTATAAGTCACACAGCTCATGATCATTGTCTTCAAAAGATGTACTACTAAATCAAGACTCAATTTCTTAAGAGTAAAACTGTGGCCTACAACCATTCATTGTTGCATCTAGAGATCATTTCCCACTTTGTGTTGTTTGATTTACCAATTGAAGAGTTTATTCACCCAGAGTATTGTGATAAAAGTAATATGACAAAATAAAAGATAGTAATAAAAGATATATTCTTGTTTGCCTCTACACAAGGTAAATGTAAAATGGATCAAGGAAATTTAAAAATTTGTAGAAAATGTTCAGAAAAATTCTCCCAAACTTATCAGTACTAAAAAATTTAATTTCCATATAATTAATCATATCTGTAACTGAAATCACTTAAATGCATCAATTAATTATCAGCTTACTGATTTCTGTATCAATTTCTACTGTCATGTTGTTAGCTTCAACAATTAATTTATATTCTGGGTCTGCTTCCACTGGTCCAGAAACTAAAAAAAAAAAAAAATAAATAAATAAATGAAAAAAGAAAAAAAAAAAGATGGATAATGAACATGAAAAGAACAACAATTAATAAATAGTACAATCTCTTTGGAGATGATGGTTCCACATTATGAGCAATGTTCTCCTCCACTTTAAACTACTTTAACATCATAACATTACATTATGTGCATTACATTATTTACCATCATTTTTGTAACTATTCTTGTGAATGTAAACAATGAGAAAGCAATGCAGATGGAGATAAAAAAGGCCAAACAGAAGAAAGAATAAATATTTATATTTTTCAAAAAATTATTGCAGGGACAGCTTAATGTATTTGGGAATTAAATGAATATATAAAAATCAATAACATAAACACAAAAGAATAAACAAAGAATATCTATTTAGTTGTGTCTCCATTTTCTTGCGTAACATTTAATATGTCAAATGATATCTGAAAATTATTGTCTACTTTATTTAATATTGGTTTATAAGTTTTAATTATTTTATATTCTTGATTTTGATTGCTTTTAAGTTTAAAAACAGAATCAAGCAAATTCATCAAGATTCATCAAGGTCACATACAGTAACTTCATAATAATTAAAAGAAAAACAAAATAGATTCCATTTATTTCTGGTAAGTTTCTAGTGAAGTAAGAACATGAAAAATAGAGAATATATTTTGGGGAGAAAATTTTCTGTGAAATTTTAAAAAGCATACAAATATTTTTCTTGTCTGGACAATAATAAAAAAAGAAATTATAATCTTAAACCTAATGGTTACAAACAATAAGTGTGAAAAAGGTAGACATCCCCTTTCTCAAAGATGAGTAAAAAAAAAAATATTCCAAGTTCACTAAGTATGCATACCAAATTTGAAGAGTTTGGCTGTGTAAAACAAATTCTTTTCAGTTATAGAGATTGATAATTTATAATGGAGTAAATTGTCTATGGATTATTTGTAAGATATTTACATCTAATGAAAAAATGTGAAAGTTTTGTTTAAAATAAATTTTATTTATAAAATACAATTATTAATGAGCAAAAAGTGAACGTGAAAAGATCAAAAAATTCTTACCACCTTCTTTTCGTTTCATAATAGAGAATGTTTCAATTTCCTGCATAACATATTTCAACTAAAACAACAAAAAAAAAAAAAATACCATAAATATGTTTTGAGTAAAGTAAAAAGCAGAAAGAAAAAAAATGTATGAAATAACATTTTACTGAAGAGAAACCTTATTCTGGAATTGTTTAATACTGTAGTATAAAATGCTTTTAATGTTACTATTCATTATATTACAGCATTAAATGTAATTATTTTTTATAATTTGCCAGAGCACATTCTTTTCAGGATATAAATAATTGTTAAAGTTGTTGATTAAAGAGTGAAAAAGATTATCTACGTTCAGATTTTCAGCTACTATGTTTTGAATGTAGTCAAAAACAAAATTTTACTCTGATAAGTACAAGAAAGATTTAGGATTGCCAGATTGAGCTTACAAGTAGCAAAGTGGGCAACATTTAAAAGCTCATTAATAATGCAACTTAGCACAACATATTTTGAAAGTAACACAAAATGTCAAAAGCAGTGATATTCAAAATTTAGTGGCAAACTTATACTAGATTTATGATTTTAAGCAACCAAATTACCCACCATCCCAATATTAGGCACTTAGTTTTTCTAATGTTTATTATATTCTTCAAGAAATGAATGTCTACATTAGATTTCAATATTTCACATCTTTATTTCTTTATACTGAGAACACTTTCATAAATATATATTTGTTGAAGTAGGCAACATTTAGCACAAAGATTGCATCTCTAGAATATTTAATGAGAATCAAATTTAATTTTAGTTACTTGTGAGATTAACATGTTAAACATTGTGTAACACAAATGCTTCACGATGAATTAATACTCTTACAGTTTATAAATAATCTCTCAGCAGGTCAAAATATTTTATCAATATTAGCATATTATTTTTGTACTTGTATCTGTTAAAACACATCCAATATATTTGTAAGAAACTAAGATTCCATAAAAATAAGTATGGTACTTATGAAAATCTTAAATAGTCTCTTGTAATTTCACTTGGTTTGCCATTAGATATTTTTGATATGTTATAATTGTTGTTGCTCAGATCTGTCAATGTTTTTTTCACTTTAAAATCATATCTGTCAAATTATTTTTTTAAAGTAAAATCACAAAATGAGATCATCATGTTTTTAAGGATTACATTAAGTTGATTCATTAGACAAGTATTTAAATGTCCTGTTATTAGTTTTCATGTTGAATCTGAACAGGCGTACACATCATTATACTAAAACTATATGACACAGACTATTATCTCAGCAAGGAATGGATCATAATTATAAGAAAATTCTTCAAAGAATAATCTATGTATCTAAGTAGATCAAATTTATATTAGTATTTTCAACTTAAGGAATACCCAACGAGAAATGAATATAATTAAGTACATATATTTTCTATAAAATAGATACTAGTTAAACATGTTAAGAATTTTAATAAAATTTTCCTTAACTAAATAACATCATAAATTGTAATTTGAATTATAAGTATCCATTATTTTCTTTGAATGTATAAGCTTTATTTTTCTTATCATAACTTTTTTTATGCAATCACCATATTTACATTTTAACATATTCCGATGTACAAATCTTATTGAATTTTACATTTTATTAAAGTTTTTCAAATTAACTAGTGTTTCTAAGTAGCAAGGTTTCTGTGATAATTTTTTCCTTAGATTTTTCTATTGTTCTGATAATGCTTTTACAGAGTGAAATGATAACAGAATAAAAATATTTTAAACATCCAACTGGGTTTTACAAATTCCATCTTACAAACTTTGTTTAAATATTTTGTATCAGTTATTTTATCACATATATTCAAATATTAAGTATTATAATTAAAATCTAGATGGGGTCATGGAATTTTCTTTCTGAAGAAAGCTCTGCAGCTGAACTTGTAGACTCCCCTGGGTAGTATAGTATATCACTATTCTATACCTTTTCACATTCAAAATGATAATAAACTTCAAAAATGGACTTATTTTCAAGTAAAAAAATTAATCAACTCCAGAATGGATCAATCAACTCCAAAATGAGAAAATGTCAAAAACCTGAAAACAATCAACTTCAAAATAAGAATAAACAACTTCAAAATAAGAATAAACAACTTCAAAATAAGAATAAACAACTTCAAAATAAGAATAAACAACTTCAAAATAAGAATAAACAACTTCAAAATAAGAATAAACAACTTCAAAATAAGAATAAACAACTTCAAAATAAGAATAAACAACTTCAAAATAAGAATAAACAACTTCAAAATAAGAATAAACAACAAGAATAAAAATAAGAATAAACAACTTCAAAATAAGAATAAACAACTTCAAAATAAGAATAAACAACTTCAAAATAAGAATAAACAACTTCAAAATAAGAATAAACAACTTCAAAATAAGAATAAACAACTTCAAAATAAGAATAAACAACTTCAAAATAAGAATAAACAACTTCAAAATAAGAATAAACAACTTCAAAATAAGAATAAACAACTTCAAAATAAGAATAAACAACTTCAAAATAAGAATAAACAACTTCAAATTGAGATATTTTTTTTGGTAAATTGAAAATTTTTTCTTCAATTAATTTACCCCATGAGTAAGGAAATTGACTGTTCGTCTTCATTATATAAATGAAGAAAAAAACAAAATACAAACAACTTAGAGGCCAAGAAAGTAAAAGTAGGAGGAGGAAGTTCCGCATAGGCAAAAATGATGATTGATGATGATGCTGGAGAAACCTCTACAAAAGAAGCTGAAGAAGAATTAACAACAGCTCCAAAGAGGACTTACCTCAAGAAAACTGTGGCTGGTGAAAAAAAAGGCCCAGATTTTAGCTGAACATGCCACAGCAGGAAATTGGAAAGACCTGGCAAGAACAATTGGTGTGCCTCTGCCAACAGCGTACCGTTGGTTAGATCAGGGTGTTGATAAGAGTGACTCTAGGGGAGGAGCAAGAAAATATAAAATTACGCAAGAGCATAAGAATTTTATGGACGAATTAATTGAAAACTCTCCTAGGGTCACTCTTCAAGACATTGTAAATAAGTTGGTCGAAAAGCATGAGGTTGGTGTGACGAAAGAATGTATAAGAAAGCACTTGAACTCCATGGCCTTTACTTTAAAAGCGGTTCATTATGAACCAGAAGCTGCCAATAATAATGTCAATAAGGCGAAACATAAGGATTATGCAGTAGCTTTATTAGAATTTCAGTCCCAAAGTGTGCCAATTCTTTATATTGATGAAGCCAATTTTAATCTCCATATTTCAAGAAGAGAAGGTTGCTCTAAAAAAAAGCACAAGGTGCACTACAGTCGTGGCAGGATCCAGGGGAAATAACATCCATGTTATTTGATGTATTAGTAATAATGGATTAATTCATCATAAAATTAAAAGAGGTTCTTTCAAAAAAAGAGGATGCGAAAGAATGGACCAGGGAGTGCCTTAGAAAGGCAAATGAAATTTATGAAAGGGGAGTTGTCTTAGTTATTGATAACGTTCCTTGACATACTTCAATTGAAGAAGTTGTGGATGAGGACGAATTTAGGCAACACCAAATTTTCAGACTTTCCCCCTAAATGTTAAATCTCATTGAAAAGGTTTGGTCAGTCATTAAAGCTGATGTAAAAAGAAGTATGGCAGACTCAATTGTTGGGATTTTACGAGGTGATGGCTAGGGATCTTTAACTACTAAAGAATTCCACCTCAGCAAGTTAGAAGCGATGATCTCTGAGGCAATTAATAATATTTCCTCTGAGACTTGCACTAACTTCGTATCTGGAATATAGAGATTACTTCCCTCTGTAATTAACTTAGATGATGTAATCTTTTAAATAAATTTCTTTGGAACGTTTATATTTTTTTTATATCCCTTTTAAGTAAAAATAAAAGAATAAATATTAAATTTATTAGTATTATATTAATTCTCAATTTGAAGATGATTAATCCAATTTGAAGTTGATTCATCCATTTTGGAGTTGATTCATCCATTTTGGAGTTGATTAATTTTTTTACCTGAAAATAAGTCCATTTTGAAGTTGAAAAGGTATAGATTTTGCTGTTGTGGTTACTCAACTGCTTTTAAGTTTAGAGTTTTTTTTCTCTTACACTAGTAGCCAACAAAATTTACAGTCTACTCTGTTATTTAAACCATAAATGGGGAGAAGAGATGGATTCCTACCTTTTCTAAGGTCATTTGTGTGAAAGTGAATGTAATGGCCTTGGTTGGCTCACCAACTTCACTTTCTGTGCCAATAACTGCTATGTTATGTGCCCATCTAAACTGTGCATATGCAATTAAAAAAGGTTACTTTCTATCTTTTGGATACAGTACATTTCCTACTCTTTAAGCGGATTCATTTTTTGTTCTAATGATTATAAAAAAAATTAATAAATTTTAGTAACTGATTTATGAGCATAAATCCATTATTTTCATTAACCCCAATAAAACTCACCTTCTCCACTTGGTTGTAAAATTTAACCATTTAAAGTATGAAATATATGCACTTGAATTCTACAGGAGTTGGGGATTTAAATTTTATTCTCTTTTAAATATCTTAATAATAGTAGCCTTCTTTTCAAAGCATAAACATTTTAATTAGTGATCTATTGATTATTAATGCTATAAAACTATTAAATAAAATGTGTATACAAATGAAACAAATGAGAGCAATAGCACAAACAATATTGAAGACTCCTAATATTTAATATGAAAAGTTGTCTTTTCTATTATTGAAGTTATTTTTATTCTTTATGATTTTTAATGTTAAAACCAATTATAAGTTTTGAAAATTTTCATTAAATCCTTTCTTAAAACTTGTTTTCTCTTAACAATTTTAAGATTTATTACTTCTGTAGAACTTAATACGCTGCCAATTATTTTGGAACAAAATCAATTCTTCACATTAGGAACAAATCTTGAAAATATTAAACAGAATAAGCTTTCTTACCTCTTTACTGTCTCGAAGTTTGGCAACACTTCGTACAGAATGTCTGCTTGTATCAACTTCCATAACAATGTCTGTGACTTCTGTGACTTCTTCTGGTTCCTCCGCATCATTAGTTTCCAAATTGTCATCTCCTTCTTCTAAATCAGCCAAAAGTTCATCAGCTAAAGACATTGTAGAAAATCAACTGAAATTAAAAATAAAACAAGTTGATACTGGTTTCCAAGATTTTGATTTATTGTTTCATGCCAAGTATCCGATATTTATTAAAGATTAAGCGTTGATTTAATGGAAAGAACAGCATTGTTTTTAAAGTACGTCCATTTTAACAATTAAAAAAAATAAAAACAGAGTATTTGAAAAGGAAATACTGGCTTTAAAAGTAAATTACTAATAATCTATATGGATAAAAAGTCAATTTTGTCTGTTAGTCTTCAAACTGATATAATAAAAAAACATAATGTGGGTTAATGTAATTGGAAGGAATGGATTTAGAGATTTCTTTTAAAGACTTCATGTTGACTATTCTGGCACAATTTTTATTCTATAAATAACATATATTTAACTTTGGTAATGTGATAACTGCAGATAATCAGATTGCCAAGAGGATATGGACAAAATTTATATAGTACTAGAATAAAAAGTACATATTTCAACTAAAAAGATTTTTGTGATAGTCTGAATATTACTTGTTAAAACAAAAATAAAAAGTCAGTTTCAGAACAGCTGCTTACAATAAACTTTATTTCATTTCAAATTATTATCCATCAGAAAAAAAAAACTTTACAGTAAAGTTTAATTGGAATGGAAGAAATCATCAAAAATTATTTTTTTTGCATTTACCAGAGATGCTCCAAAAGTAATAACTCTGATTTATTTCTACAGGAAACACAACAGACACATGGAGCCCAATAACACAACTGAATAGAACAAGTTTTTAACTACAAAACACTATTTTTCCAGTCATCACCATGATTGTTGATATATTTTTTAGATGTTTTTCGTTTCATGGGTTGACAGCTGTATAGAGCTATCTGGAAAGTGGCTTATCATACACATTACTGATGAAATGCATTACCCACCACCTAACTGTGCTCATATCCACTGTTTCCTTTATATAATCATTCAACAAGTGTTGATGAATACAAATGAGTATATTTTTTCTGCTTTGTATACCATTTCATGTCGGACACCATTTTACCAGGCTGCTATCTGTGACAAGGCAAAACAAATTATGGGTTACTGATGAAAATGTTCATCCTCAATTGCTATACTACCAACAGATACCTCTGATATTATGAGAAAATTATAAAATATGAGGTATTATTTAAGAAGCAATTCTTGTATATTGATGTATTATGGAGTAGATTAAATGATCCTTTAAAAAATGTTATTTGAAGTGGGCAGTTAAGCAACTTCATTTTTTACATTTTTTCATGAGCATCAAATTTAATGCCTGAAGCAAATTATGCATACCAAATACTGGATTACCTCCCTTAGATTTCTGATCACATATTTTTTTTTCTAGATATTTAATTTACATTTGAAAAGTCTTGCATCAAAATTAAAATGAAAATAACATCTGAAATGCAATATAATTTATTTAATCTACAGCAACTACTTCATCTTTGTGAAAAATTCACGGACATAATAAATAGGTTTGGTTTTTCCAAAGCCTGACCATGCCTTGTTTCTAATTTCTTAAATCTTATTCTTGCAACATCTTCAAAATTGGTTTTCCCAACAGACCCAAGTTTATATATATATATATATTGAATATCCAAGAACTTTGTTGTTTCTCCAAATACAAATCAAATTATACTACACAAACTAGTCAATAATTATTCTCTTCAATATGAACTATGAAGGAATACATAGGGAAAATGTAGTCGAACGTTTTAAACAAAGTTACAAGAAGGATATTTTCCTACTTCTGTGAGATTATTGGCTTCAAAGATAAATATCAATATCTGAGTTTGCTACATTGAGATTTTGGATGGATGCTAGTAGTTCTTTATTTTATTTCTTTTTTTTTTATTTTTATTTCTAATGCCAAACTTTTAAAATCCACAAGAGACAAACACTTATATTTGAATTATTCCCTCAGACCAGAATATTATGAGTGACTTTCACAGTCACACGCTAGTCAACCCAAAGATTACCAGGAAACCAATACTTTAGGTCATGTACCTCTTCTTGGATAATCCAGTCAGTGAGTAAGAAGAGGTTTAAAAATTTAAGTCTGTACTCAAGTGGTGACATTTTTGAGTTTGCTTTCTTAATCCAATCAATTCTAGTTATTATGGGTTCAAGATGTCAAACGATTCAGAGGATTTGCTGTCTCTATATACAAGGACGGTATTTAATTTAACTTAAGCTATTGTGTGTGTGTCAGCTTAGGTATTATTGGATGATGGAAATTGAAAATATTTTTATAGAATAATAAAATAATAATAAAAATTAAAAACTATTTCATCCTGAAGCTTGGAAAGTTTGGTTAGACTTATAAACTAGAGTTGGGGTGTAGGAAACGGGAAATACATATACATTTATTTATTCATATTTCACAAAACAGCTTTTATGACCATACCGGCCATGAAATACTCAAACAAAAAGATTGTCTCGAAAGTGGACTGTCACGCACGTGTTTTTCTGCAATCTTTTATTTTCTCCTCTTAAAAATGAATTTGATGCTAAATTAGGATTTAAAAAGCGATAAAATGTTAAGTTTCAAAATTAGTAACGAACTATAAAATAATAAAAACAATGTGACTTAGGCGTAAGGAAATGATTAATAAAAAATTAAACTTTTATTAAAAAGCGCTTAATTTTCTCTTGTAATAAATGTAATCCAAATTGAGTTAATGTGTAACAATGTTATTGTTGTAAATGAATGATAAAATAACTATTTTTTTTTTTTTTTTTTTTTTTACACAAGGTTCAAACTTTGAACATTTACTGATTTAAGTTCTTAAAGTGTTTTTATGACCCAAACACCACTTCTTAAGCATCCAGGGCTGAGACACATACACACAAAAAATAACTCTGCAGTGTATAAGAATAACAATAAGATTATTAAAATAGATTCATTACTGATACGAAACAAAAATCTCACTTTATATACCATAAGTGAGATTTTGTTTAATTATACTTGCAAGCTATACAAAAACATTAAAATAATTTCTTACCGAAATAAGAAAATAATTTTCAGTTCACGTATGCAAAAAATGATTTCATAGCTCTTTATTTTCTTTTCACGAATAAAATTTCAAAATATTGCAATGATCTTTAATTAAAAAAAAAAAAAAAAAAAAAGTAACTTACATTCAAATTTTTAATTTCAATAATAATAATGTTAGGAAAATATGTCTATTAAAAAAATGTTTTAAATTCATCTGTTCAAGAATAATTATTTTTATAAATATTTTGATACTAATTTCTATTAAATGAAAACAAAAACTTTACCTGAAACGTTAAAATTGAAATGCTTCCAGACTTAGTATTGATGTTAGGACAAAATTTGTAAACCGGTGTAGTCAAATAAATATTCCCTTCTAAAAAATAAGATCATAATTGTCCTCAGAAGTTTAGAGACGAAATAAATTTATGTACAACTGTTTGAATTTGCGTACTATATATATATATATTTTTATTTTTGGTGAAAAGCAAACTACCGCAGAAATAAAATAGTACAAAAATGGTATCTCAAATGATGGAGGTGATAAACGCTTGATCTGTACAAAATGAAAGAAAAAAATAATAAATAATAAATGTCTAATAAATTACTCAGTGGAGTACTCACTCTCTGCTCTAGACTTACGTTTTCTCTTCAACTAGCAAACTGTTGTTAAATTAACTTTTCCCAATTTGGATTATTTTTCATATAACTTTCTTTATCTCCTAATAAATAGATTTTTTTTTTTTTTTGTTATAGCCCAAATTTCAAATTGATTACCACGGAAGGTAAATAAATAGAAAAAAATGTTAAAATATTCCATCAGTACGAGAACAAAATAATGTCATAGCAAAATTTTATATTCAGATATAAATAAAAAATAAATACCAAAGCCATCCGTAACCGACCTTTGTGAGGAAATAAATTGCATAGAATTATAACAAAAATGGGGATAAAAAAGCTATATGTTTTGGAAAAATTAAAACAAAAGTTTAATACTGTAAATAACGTCTTTTACTCTGTCGGAGTTACCTTCTCCTTAATTCCCAAATTGTCACTAGGGGGGGGGTCATTCTCCCTGTACTATAAATACTGGGCGACCTCTTGCCTCATTTTTTTTTTTTTTTTTTGGCAATTAGACGCCTGTAATGTGCATGCCAGCTTCCGGGACCGGAGTGGTGAAACCCCCGGTTGGATCAACATCAAAACCCCACATTCCTCGAAGAGCTTTCGCCCGCTGCTAGTGCAGTCGTGGAGAAGGGAGAGGGGGAATGACAGGTTGCTGCCAAGGGCAGAGGGAAGCGCCGAACAGCGGGTCCTCAGTCCCCTGAAGCCCTCGGGACGAAAGGCACTGATAGTCCCACTCCTTCTGTCAACAGTAAGGGCGACGCCCCGGCCTCAAAACAGACCCTTACAACATGTTCAAAAGAAATATGATCCTGGTTTTGAAAAGACCGAAAAAATCAAAATTCTTAAGGAAAAAATTAGATTTCCAACGTCATGCAAAATCCTCCCCCATTAAGAAAGCTACTCCTTCCTCGTCCACTGCCTCACATTCAACAAAATCTTCCCAGCCCTCTACTTCTAGTCAGCTCAAGACATCCTCTCTGACCCATCACATTCTTCCCACCCCTCAACCCCTCTTAGTAGAGAGAAGTCCTTTCCCGTCCAAAAGGCCACTCCATCCACATCTTTTCCCCATCCCTCAACCCTTCTCAGTAGAGACCCAGCCCCCTCAGACAAACATACACGCCTCGTCATACCCCCAGTCCTTCTCCCACGAAATCTCCTGAAATGCCCACTCCCCAAAACAAAAGACTCCGAAGTTCAACACAGTGATAAAAACTCCGAAGTTCAACACTTAAGTGATAAAAACAAAAGACAGAAGCAC